AAGGCCGGGAGAGGGGCAGAGCGGGGGTGGCAGAGGGACAGGGGACCCTGCGAGAGGCAGGGCAGAAAGTACAGGGAATCCTGGAAAGAGGCAGGGAACAGGAAAGAGGCCACCCTCCACGGAGGGGGCAGTATCCCCTTCCACCTGTCCCTCATTCCCTGGCCTTCCTGCTCTCCCCATCCATAAAAGGTCCCCTGTCCCTCTTCTCTGCCTGCTCCATGGAGGGTCCCCTACCACCTCTGCCCTGCACCCTCCATGGAGGGTCCCCTACCCCCTCTCCCCTGCACCCTCCATGGAGGGTCCCCATCACCTCTGCCCTGCACCCTCCATGGAGGGTCCCCTACCCCTCTGGTCTGTCCCCACCATGGAGGGTCCCCTACCCCCTCTCCCCTGCACCCTCCATGGAGGGTCCCCTGCCCCCTCTGCCCTGCACCCTCCATGGAGGGTCCCCTGCCCCCTCTGCCCTGCACCCTCCACGGAGGGTCCCCTACCCCCTCTGCACTGCACCCTCCACGGAGGGTCCCCTTACCCCCCTCGCCCTGCACCCTCCACGGAGGGTCCCCTACCCCCCTCCGCCCTGCACCCTCCACGGAGGGTCCCCACCACGTCCGCCCTGCACCCTCCTTGGAGGGTCCCCTACGCCCTCTGGCCTGTACCCTCCATGGAGGGTCCCCTACCCCCTCTGCCCTGCACCCTCCATGGAGGGTCCCCTACCCCTCTGGTCTGTCCCCTCCTTGGAGGGTCCCCTACCCCCCTCTCCCCTGCACCCTCCATGGAGGGTCCCCTGCCCCCTCTGCCCTGCACCCTCCTTGGAGGGTCCCCTGCCCCCTCTGCCCTGCACCCTCCACGGAGGGTCCCCTACCCCCCTGCCCTGCCCCCTCCATGGAGGGTCCCCTACCCCCCTCCGCCCTGCACCCTCCACGGAGGGTCCCCTACCCCCTCCGCCCTGCACCCTCCACGGAGGGTCCCCTACCCCCTCCGCCCTGCACCCTCCACGGAGGGTCCCCTACCCCCTCCGCCCTGCACCCTCCACGGAGGGTCCCCTACGCCCTCTGCCCTGCACCCTCCACGGAGGGTTCCCTACCCCTCTGCCCTGCACCCTCCACGGAGGGTCCCCTACCCCCTCCGCCCTGCACCCTCCACGGAGGGTCCCCTACCCCCCTCCGCCCTGCACCCTCCACGGAGGGTCCCCTACCCCCTCCGCCCTGCACCCTCCACGGAGGGTCCCCTACCCCCTCCGCCCTGCACCCTCCACGGAGGGTTCCCTACCCCTCTGCCCTGCACCCTCCACGGAGGGTCCCCTACCCCCCTCCGCCCTGCACCCTCCACGGAGGGTCCCCTACCCCCTCTGCCCTGCACCCTCCATGGAGGGTCCCCTACCCCCTCTGCCCTGTACCCTCCACGGAGGGTCCCCTACGCCCTGCACCCTCCATGGAGGGTCCCCTACCCCCTCTGCCCTGTACCCTCCACAGAGGGTCCCCTAACCCCTCTGCCCTGCACCCTCCATGGAGGGTCCCCTACCCCCCTCTGCCCTGCACCCTCCATGGAGGGTCCCCTACCCCCTCTGCCCTGCACCCTCTATGGAGGGTCCCCTACCCCCCCTGCCCTGCACCCTCCATGGAGGGTCTCCTATCCCCCCTGTCCTGCTCCCTCCCTGGACGATCCCCCCACCCCTGCCCCGTCCCATTCATGGAGGGTCTTCGGTCCCCCTGCCCTGTCCTGTCACTCACGGGCCTCTTACTGACGTGCGCTCCAGTCTGTGGTCTCCGTGTCTCCTGCCTCCGGGCTGCGTCCCAGGTCTCTGTACCTGAAGCACATCTCTTCCCCTCTTCATCTGTCTAAATCCCCCCTGTGCTCTCCAGTCACATCTCAAATTTAATTTCTAATGTCAAATCACTGTGTGACCGTTAAAAAGTATAAATGAGATTATGTCATTCTCATGCCCAAAAGCCTGATGGTGTGATAGCATTTTCAACCCACCCGAGGGCCCTTCATCCTCCCACCCACCCTGCCCTGCACCCCAGCCGGCCTCGCTCTCCCTGCCCTGGGGGAACTTGCTGTCGCTCTGGGGGTGGCTCCCCCAGTTCTCCACGTGGGCAGCTCTGTCTCACAGCCAAGTCTGGGTTTGAATATGATGAGATGTTGGCGAGCCCTTCCCTGACCCTGCGGCAGTCACCGCAGAGGTCCCAGCCCAGCACTGTGGGGTGTCACAGGGCAGCAGGTCACAGAATGAAGACGGGTCACAATGGTGAGACTTGTCATAGGTATCCTGGCAACCGTCCCAGGTCAGCCTGGTGGGCCAATAACCAGTTGAGGCTCGATGAAGGGACCACGGGCCAAAGTTTCCAGGGCCCCTGGAAGCTGGGGTGGCTTTGGCAGGGACATGGAAGGGAACTGCCCTGTAAGATAGGATTCAGCCAGCGCCCCATGAGCAAGAGACGGGGCCTCCCAGAGCCTGTGGGGAGGAGCGCAGCCCGATGAACCCGCCTCGGGTTTCTGACCCACAGCACCTGGGGTCCCACACTTTGTGGTGAGGGCCACTCCGTCCCAGGTCCTGTGTTCGGGCCACGGTGGCAAACCAGTATCGTCCCCATCACTCCCTGGTCACATCACCGAAGTCTGTTTTCTTCACGGCTGTTAGTATCTCCTGAAATAAAGTGGGGTTCTGGTTCACCTGTCTGCCTCTCAGCCCCCTCAGCACCCGAAAGGTTCACCCAGCGACCCAGGCCCAGTGAGGAGTGGATGGCACACACGTTTCTGTTTCATAACATTTTATTTTCTACTAAAACATTAACATGATGCCTTAAACCTCTTTAGGACATCCCCCCAAAATAAATTTACAAAATTTTAAAAAATCTTTTTTTGGTCAAAACCTGCATCTCAGCGTTTGGTCACAGATGCAGTTGCCGCTTTGTGAGCTGCCTCGTGGAGGCGGCGGGACTGACAGCAGACCAGGTCACACTGGGATTTGCCTCCTGTCCCCCGCAGGCCGGCCCTTTGGTCCCCGGTGGCCAGTGTCTGACCCTGGTGTTGCTTCCGGCAGGGCCGGGGGATATCCATCCCAAGGCTGTTACGGCCCTGGTGATCCTAGCTCCTCAAATTCTCACTCATTTCGTATGAGGGACCAGGAATTGTGGTCATCGAAAGTAGGGGCAGTTCGGGTGCTGTGTGCTCATGGCTGCAGGCCTGTGTGGTGAGCAGGCGGTGTGGGGCAGCCCCCCCGAAGCTGCCCACTAGCTGGCCCGTTGCCTGGCTGTCCCCTTGACAACAACTCCCCTCTGGCTTTGTTTGAGGTTCCCAGGGGCAGTTTCAGAGACAGTGATGTTGGTGTCTGGACGGTCTCCCAGGATTAAGGAAGCAGGAGCTTTGGAATCAGGAGGGGCAGACACGGCAGAGTGCTGTTTCTTCCCAGGAAATGCTTCCCATCAGGAAACGCCAGCAAGTCAAAAAGCAGTTCTGCAGAGGGATGAGTTTTCCTTCCAAAGATGAAATCACAAAAACTATGAGACAGTGTGTGCTCTGTTGAGAAAACCCAGATAAAACTGTTCTGTGGAATGCGTCTGTTTGGTGAGCTCTGCACCGTGTGAGTGTGTCCAGGAAGCAGGAATGACGGGCACAGTGGCAGATGCCAGGCCCAAAAGTGTCTTCTTCTCACTGACATTTCAGCCATGCTGTGAAGACCCACAAAGAACAGCAGCCGTTGGGGGGTCCCTGTGGTGTTTGCGGGGTTCCAGTCACTCCCCTGACTCTGGTAGAAAGGCATTTGGATGAGACTCTGTGACCGCAGGGCCTGAGGGCTGCGGGCCCAGCACTGATGGGAGAGGATGCCCCGCCTGCCCTGCCCGGGGTGTGTGTTTCTTTGTGTGGCTGGACCTGGCTGGGAAGAGGCCCCAGGCCCTCAGTTGTCCCCATGGCTGAGCAGTTCTTCAGCACTGAGCTCAACCCAGAGTAGTGCCCAGGGCCACCTTCAGACATTGTTATTGTCCAGAAGTCAGTCGGCCTTTGTTTTAAATTAATCACTTCCCCACAGCAGCCCAGGGACTGGGCCCTGTTCCCTCCCCCAGGCTGGTAACAGTAGACACTGATTTCCTGCCCAAAGCCTATTACTGCAGTGAAACGAAGTTGTATCTGTAGGAAAATAATATTTTAATCTCACTCAAACCCACCTCCAGCAGGATCAAGCGTTTTATGTTTCTGGTCCTCTTGACAGCTGGAACAACTTTCTACTTCCTCTCTGCCTGTTCCTGTGCCACCACGCCTGTAAGCCAGGTTGTGATGGTCACGAGCCCTGTCCGTGTATGACCTGCACAGCCTCCCTTCATATGAACCACTTCTTCATTAGGAAGAGACAACAGTAGTAACATGGGTGTGTGGGCAGCAGCCCATTTTGCAGATGAATGGTTACAATAAATTTACATAATTCAGCTCTGCTGGGGTCTTTCGATAGCAGTGGAAGAGACAGGAGGGAACCTCAGGCTTTTTTGTCCAAATTCTTTTGACACAAGGACACACAACTGTCCCCTCTCCCTCATTCTGCTGTCCCCTAGAATTGACACCATGTGCAGCTGGAGCCTTGCCTGTCTTGTGCCATGGGACAGCGCCAGCCCTCCTAGTCCCAGGCCCTCCATGGTCCTTGCTGAGAGGAAGGCATGAAGCAATGACTTTGTCATCCATCCACACTGCCTCGGCCCCGATGGTCCCTAGTCTACAGGGGGGTCCTGATAGAGGACGGAGAGAAGAGTCACGTTTGGGTGGGGGACAGGTCCAGAGCAGGGGTGCAGGTAGGGAGGCGGGGGGAGAAGATGCGGTCATCACGGGAGACTGGGGACGGTGACGGTGCTGGACTCTGGGACATGGGCTCCTATGCACTGCCACCATGATGGGGGGCTGGGGCCTCCTCTCCGCGGCCCTCTGACTCCTGGGCATGGAGCCCAATGTGCATGGGACAGAGAAAGCTTGGAGAGGAACATACGATTTTTATGAATTCTACCTCAGTTGTCAGCTGGGTGACCAGTTATCCATCTCCCCGATGGCCTTCCTTAGCTGGCTGCACTCACACGGGTGCCTGTGGAAACCTGTGGTTAGGAAGATGAATCAAGCGTGAGGCACAGAAAAACAGAAGCAGCAACTCCCCAGTATATAAAGGTTTCTCAACAGACCCACAGGCCCTCAGAGGCAGAGACTTCGGTGGCTTGGCGCAGGGTAGTAGCGTGGAGGTGGAGAGAAGACCACACATCTGGGAACAATGGTGGTGGTGGAACCAGAACAGAATGGTTGAATATTGGGGTGAGACGGAAGAGGTTGGAGGGGACACCAGGTTCCTGCTTCAGTGACTCCGTGGGAGGTGGCGACATTGTTAAACTGGGTTGGAAGAGGAACACATGACAGTGCCTCTGAGACATCCAAGTGGAGATTCGGAGGTGACACCTGGGTCAGGGCGTGACTTGGGCATTGTTGGCATGTGTGTGGGGTAAAGGAGGGGTCGTGAGAGAGTTGGCTGCAAGGATGCCTGAACTGAGGGAAAATACAGAAAGTACAGGTGTGCTTTTCTCAGACTTTTGGAGGCCAGAGGAAAGAAGGACCCTGTGGCCCTCAGAGAGGTATTGAGAGAGGACATCGTGCTCCAGGATGCTGTGTCAGAGCAGAATTATGTGGGAGATAGGATCATACGTCCTGGACAAGCAGGCTGCAGTCCTAAGAAAGGCATGCGAGTGTTCAGGAGGAAGTGGAACGCTGGGGCAGCCGGGGAGGGTGTGGCAGATGAGGAGAGCACAGGGCAGCTACACACTCGCCCATTTCCCAGCCTGGGGCAGTTGGTTCATGGGTTACACTTTTTCGAAAAGTGCAATTTTAATGCATGTTGCAAAAATTCTTGGACCCTTTATGCCTGGTTCTCCATTAGGGCCAGAGGGTCCTATGTCAGCAGAATCCCCTTTTTAACCTGAAGAAGAAAAGCAAAGTCAAAGTCACCAAGCAGAGACGGGACATGTTTCCTGAGTTCAAAACTGTCCAGAGTAACATGTTATGTGTGCAGGGTGTAATGCCCTGGGGATTCCCAGACTGAATTAGGGGTTGAACTAATCGTCCAAAGAGATGATGGTGAAAAGTACCCAGCAACTTCGATTCTGTAGATACTGGGAAGCATGGGGAAAGCCTGCTTTTTATTCTTACCAACCTATTCTGTGAGATGCTGAAAATTCAGCTGGCATGAGAACAAAATAGATCAGTTTACTTTTTTTTCCAGTAAACTCTCACAGAGCCCTCTCTGCTATTTTTATGATTTTATGCATATGCTTTGATATTTTTCTATTTCTTTTCCCCATTTTCTCTCAAGAGCTTACTCTTAACTGGGAAGTGTGATGATAGGAAACATACATTTGTTCAAGATAGCATTGAGAAGCGGTTTACATTTTTGCTTCATTTTGCCCAAAGGGGAGTTTTTCTCCCTTTTAAGGTGTTTCCAACTACAATATTAGGGAAAGAGCGAGGCAGACCACCCACAGAGAATTTGAACTCTGGTTGGCTTGAGTTTTCACTTTTAAATTTAGAGCCAGAAAGCCTGAAACCAAAACAAACTGCGATGCATTTGGCTATGTGTGGCAGGAAATGAGCTTTCCAATGCTGAAATCATAAAATAATTTATCATAAGAAATCTTCTTTAATAATTAATAGCCTTTTAAACTCATAAATTCTACTTTATTTTTTCCCCAACACAGATCCTATTTTCCTAACTAGGCAGAATAGCCATTGTCACGGAAAAGGGGCCGCACTCCAAGTGAGGACCACCTGCCCTGACCCTGGCATCAGAAGTCTAGCACTTGGGGTTAGGTCTATCCAGCAAAGTTTTCATTTAGAATGGAAGGACAGATAAAGTGCTTCTCAGATAAGGCCAAATTCAAGGAGTTCATCATCACCAAGCCCTTATTATATGAAATGTTAAAGGGATTTACCTAAGAAAAAGAAGATAAAAAAAGTTGAACAGTGAAAGGACAGCAAACTCACAGTTATCAACAACCACACCTAAAACAAAAGCAAATTAAGAGGACAGCTAGATCAGGAGCAGAACCATAGAAATGAAGATCACATGGAGGGTTAGCAACAGGGGAGTGGGAGAAGGAGAAGGGGGGAGAAGGTACAGAAAATAAGTAGCATAGACAGTAGATAGAAAATAGAGAGGGGGAGGGTAAGACTAGTAGGGGAAATACAGAATCTAAAGAATTTGAGACACGTGTTCATGAACTAAAGGGGGAAATGGTGGGGGAGGGGCATGCAGGGCGGAGGGGAATGGAGGGGGGAATAGAACAACTGTAATGGCATAATCAATAAAAAAGTTAAAAAAAAAAAGAAGTCTAGCACTTGGGGTTAGGGACCCTCACATGCAGAATAGAGGTTACTGGCACATAGAGAAGGGAAAACCCTGAGAACCTAGGAGGGGAGTGATATAGAGAAAAGAGCCTAGGGCTGAATGTTGGAGACACCAACAAATACAGGAAAAGCAAAGGAGGAAGTTCCAGCAAAGAAAATGGAGAGAAGGAGTCAGGGAGGCGGATAAATCCAAGAGGGTGCTGCAGCGCTGAAGGGCTACGATCTGCCCTTGAATATCACATACCTGTGAACCTGTTTGCCAAGTCGACTGACTTCACAGTTCCATCTTGATCTAAGAATTCCAAAAGGACACATTCATACTGTTGCCATTAATGAAAGAGAAGAACTCTACAAAACTGAAATTGTTTTTGAATCTTCAGAATGATTAAACACAAGCCATGGAATTAACTTCAGTATCAGAACAACATGTAGACTGCTGATCAGTTCAGCGAGAGGCAGCCACTCAACGTTCTAAAGAGAAGGAATTCTATTTCGGCATCTTAGAGTTAGTACAGTTGCACATTGAAATGTAAAAGCAGATTCTTTCTATAAACCAGTAGTTTACTGAGATCTTTGAGCTGTTACTGTCAGAGTGAGACAGAGTGCTCAGCAATTGTCTAGTGAATTTTTGAGAAGTTAAACTGTTACCAGAAAATAAATTTCTCTTATTTTTAATAGCAGCTTTGCTTTTTAATTTTTTTACAACAGTCTGATATTTAGTAACCTCAGTTACTACACAAGTGCTCAGACAAAAATATTCACATTATTTATGACTTTGTAAGCTACTAACAGGAATATCAATAATATTATATTTCTATTTCTAAGCATATAATTACTTAACAAACATTGTCAAGTTCTGCCTGTATTCCAGGTTCTGCGCAAGGCCCAGAGGATAGTGAGGAGCAAAACTTAGCTTCTTCAAGTTCACAGATATTCACAAATAATTATAGCAAGTGACTCTTACTCTAAATTGCCTTCAAGGTGCTATGGAAACTCAAAATGGAGAGGATATATATGTAGAGAAAAATGAGCAGGAGCGTGCTGGGTGGAGTCCAGGAGAAAGGACATTCCTGGTTGAAGCGCTGCACCTGCAAAGACAGGAAGGAGTCATACCACACGGCACAAACAAAGCAGACGGCCCCTTCCGGCTGTGCCAGGGCAGGAGGAGAGAGGTGGGAAAGGGGCTGGGTAAGTCAGTGGATGTACCATGGAACAGGTTGCCATGCCCAGGAGTTGAGACTTCCTCCTGCAAGGACTGGGGAGCTACCAAAAGATTATAAACAGGATGTAATCAGATGTCTGCTTACAGATTCCTCTGGAAGCAGCACGGAGAAAGGACTGGAGGTGCTAAGACAAAGAAATTAAAAATGTGCACAACTGTCTAGTCAAAAAATGATGAGCATGGTAGAATATTATTTAACCCTAAAAAGAATTCAAGTACTGGTATATGCTACAACATGATGAACCTCAAAAACACTATGCTAAGTGACAGGAGCCAGTCACACAAGGCCACATATTGCATGTTCCATTCATGTGAAATGTCCAGAACCGGCAAATCTATAGACATAGAAAGTAGATTAGTGGTTGCTGGAGCTGGGAGGAGGAGGGGTTGAGAGAACGGCCAAGGGGTGCTCCTTGTGGGGTCGTGAAAATGTCCTAGAATTGATTGTGATAAAAGATGCACAACTCTGAATATACTAAAAGCCATTGAACTGTATACTTTAAATGGGTGAAATTTATATGTGAATTACATCTCAATAGAATATTTTTTAAAGAAAAACAATGAGACTGGAACAAGAGTAGGGACCATTCTCTGTTTCTGACAGAATCACAACTGAGTGAAGTCAACCCAAATCAGGACAGGAAATTCAGAAAGATGACAAGCCCCGTTCTAAACATTTTTGGACATTTGGTTTGTGACATCTGTGAAGTATCAAGATGATGAGGAATAATAGCTAGAGGAACTCATGAGAGTCCAGAGATAAGGATTCGAAAGAATTCAGCAAATATATTGTATTTAAATCTATGGAAGTGAATTCAACAAACTCAAAGGGCACCTCTAAGGATAGTCATTTTTAAGAAACAGAAAGAAGAGGTGCCCTCCAAGGAAGGTGAAAAGAAGCTGTCAGAAAGCAAAGAGGTAAATAAATACCCTAATCCACTTGCCAAGTTCAGTCAGGTCACTAACTGTCTCACTGTCTCAAAATACTGGTTTGGCCAAAAGTTCATTTAGTTGTTTTCATGCAATGGCTCTAGTAGTGCTCACTTGTCTTTACCTTCATTTGAAGCAATTTTGTTAGATTGTATTGGGACAGCTATCACATCACCATGCATTTAAGAAAACTTATCGAAATTGGTGATTTATTGTGCAGCCATTTTAATATTGAAGATGGAAGAAAATACACATTTTCAGCATACTATGCTGTATTATTTCAAGAATGGTAAAAATGCAACTGAAACACAAAAATATTTATGTAGTGTATGGAGAAGGTGCTGTGACTGATCAAACATGTCAAAAGTTGTTTGCAAAGTTTCTTGGTACTATTGACATTTTGGCCAAATGATTCTTTGCTGTGGGGCTGTCTTACGCATTGGAAGATGTTTAGCAGCACCCCTGGCCTCTACCCACTAGAAGCCAATAGTGGGAGACAGCTGACATACTCAGAATACCCAAATCAATACAATTATAGGTGAAAATAAAAGATGTGCCTTTTATTTTACAGAAAAAAACTAAATGGAGTTTTGGGCCAACCCAGTACTAGGGAGCATCTCTAAATACAGCTGTGCTAGGTTAGGGAACCTGGTGGTCAAGTTTGCTCCTCCTGGACTCTGTAAGATGGCCCTGCCCCATGACTCAGCCCAGCAGCTGATCACTGACCACTAGACTTCGGCACTTTCATGATGCAGAGTGTACATGCCCTTGCTCACCTGGCACCTGCTTGGGAACTTCGTACTCTCCTAACTGTGCTGTTCTCATTTTCCTGTTCTGTTAATGAAGTGGGTATGTTCAGCTGTCATCATAATTAGCATTCATTTAATTCAAGTGTTTTATCATTAATCTTTTATGCTAATTAGTCTCTTTATATGTTAATATATCACAAAATATGTGAAAGCAAACCATTTTCTTATTAGAAAATTAAAAGCCTCTTCAACATAAAAGCAGGGTGGAAGGAAATCTAGCTAGACAGATCAGTCCAATGAAAACTTCCCTTTGCTGGAAAACTGACTCTCCAGTCTGCATGAAACTTTGCATTCAGCAAACTGGAAAAATAACTCACCCAGACCAAATTTTTTCCCATTTTCTTCTCAGTTAGCAAGGCATCCCTTCTCAACTAACTAGTGGTTTCAAATAAAGATTTTTCAGTGCTCATTTTCACAGCTAGGTGGGATTTCTTCATCAGATTTTCAAATGCAGAATTATCAGCAAAGGCAGCCAAGACAGCTACTCCCGATTATGTCACCTTTCCAGCGACAAAGAGGCCTTCAGTGTAAGTCCTAAATTATCATTTTAAGCAGTCTCTTTCATATATTTTTTCTGTCCCGATCCTCACAGCAGCCTCGGGTGGAGACAGCACAGTCAGGTGAGAGACCACTTGGGTTTAAACCCTGGCTCCATTTCTTAGCTATGTGGCCCCAATGGATAACATTCTTATCTGTTGCTTTCTCATTTCTAGAATGAATGATGCTCATTGGGTTGCCTGAAGATTCAATAAATTCATATGTGCAAAGTGCTTAGAACTGTGCCTGATATACAGTAAATGCTCAATAAATATTACTAATACAACATGCCCCCTTTTCCCCCTGGGGATACTTTCCCAGGCACCCAATGGATGACCCTACAGATAGTATCAAACCCTATATGCGCTATGTTTTTTCCTATACATGCATACCTATGAAAAAGTTTAATTGATAAATTAGGTACATTAAGAAATTAACAATAGTAATAAAATAGAACAATTATAACAACGTACTGTAATAGAAGCTATGTGAATGTAGTCTCTCAGCAAACTAATGCAAATTTGTTTTTCTTCTTCACAATTTCATGGATACAAGATTCATTTTTATTGTTAGCAACCTCAGCATATGATACTTTTCTTACTGTGCAGAGAACTTGCACCTTCTCGTTGGAAGGAAGCACTTTACAGCTTGTCCCTGGCATATCCGAATTGCCAGCATCACTGCCCTTGTGCTTTGGGGCCATTACTGAGTGAAACAGGGTTAGCCAAACATGAGCACTGGGATACGTGATGGTAGGTCTGGTAGCTGAGGTGACTATTAAGTGACTAACGGTCCCGGAACACATGTAGCACAGAGACGTTGGACAAAAGCATGATTTTTATGCTGAGGGCACTGCCTCACGAGATTTCATCACACTACTCAGAATGGCACGCAATTTAAACCTCATGAATTGTTTCCTTCTGGAATTTTCCATTTACTATTCTCAGACCATGGTTGACCACGGGTAACTGAAACTGCAGAAAGCTAAACCATGGATAAAGGGGAACTTTTGTAGTATAACAGATACCATTATTAATATTTCCCAAGACCAGAGGCATAGAGAGGCAAAGCCACTCAACACAGCAGAACTTGAACTCCAGGCCCCACCTGTTAGGATTTTGGACACTTTCTCCTCAACCACTATGCTAATAACAACCCAGGCTTTGGGGCACAGCCCTGTGCCTTGGTGAACACCCCAGGAGTACACTGGGTGGTGCTAAATCGTGGAGGGACTCTGAGACCAGAGTGCTGGAAAGACCCCACCCACACCCCTTTTCCCGTGGGAGCCAACTAGCCAGCGGTGTTGCATAAACTATCTGCTTGCAGTCAGACCTCTGTACTAGGAGGTTCCATATCTGCTGATTCAAGCAACAGTTGGTAAAAAAAAATTTTTTAAAGACACATTACACTGTTGCTGCCGTGTATAGTGGGCCAAAGATAGTTGTGTCTCTGCTGAATGTGTAGACTTTTTTTTTCTCATCATCATTCCCTCAACAATACAACAAATAGTCACATGCCATTTACATTGTATTAGGTATTCTCAGTAACCTGGGGATAATCTGGAGTCTATGGGATGATGTGTGCAAGGTTATGTGCAAATTCTATGCCATTTCACACAAGGAACTTGAGCATCTGTGGATTTTTCTAGCCATGGGGGATCTGGAACCAGCTAAAGGATGACATCATTTGTCTTGTGTCTGGGTACAACCAAATGCATCTCTGGTTTTTCTCTGTAGGATACATTTCCAGAAGGCAAGTTATTAGGTCAAAGATTACAAACTGTTTTTGCCAAATCGTTTTCCAAAATTTCACAACAAATTTGTTTGCATCAACTTCTACTGCTCCCTATATATAAGTAGTACCTGAAAATGCTGCTCTCCGTCCTTACTAATGTTAAGTATTTTCTTGAACAAATCTGTGTCAGGTCAACATACTGAAAATAGCATTTCAGTGTCACTTTGATTTGCATTTTTCAAATGTCCAGACAGGTAAATGGTTCTTCCCACACATTTATGCCCATTTGCTGTGTGTGCACATTTGTTTCTATCATTGGTCCGATTTTTCCACCGGTTGGAATTATTTTTTTAGGTTTTCTTATTGACTTTAAGTATTCATATTTTACAAATCTTAAACATTTGTCATATTTATTACAAATACATTATCCCATTTGATCATTTGTCTTTTAATTCCTTCACAATGTATGTATGGATTTAAAAACAAAAACAAAACCATGTCATAGGTTTATTGGTAATAATCCTGTTAAACCTATTGATCTTTTCTTTTGTGATTTTTCCCATGGCTTTTATACCACTTTACTTGGGGCCCATCTCAGACTTTTCCCTGTCAAACAGAAACTCTGTTCTTCATACTTCTGACGGGAACTCACAGGACCACCTTCCTGCAGCGAAACTCCCACCACGCGGCCACCTCCACCCAGAGGCGATCACCTGCACATGCTTTTCCAAATGGTAATCTGCTGTCCTTCTCTACACGAAGACCCAAACATTTTGACAAACACGCTGATCTGTGACCTGGGCTTTGTGCAGGCATCCGTGGGGTCCCTTCCACAGAGAGAGCCA